GTAATATTTTACTTGTAAATATATTATTATTTTCATGAATTATCTTCAAATTATAGAATTACAAGTAGTGAATGCTCCTTCACTCTAAATAAGTCATTGACATTATTACTTTTGATTATTTTAGTTTAGGCAATTTCAATAAGTTCTGTTTGGTTATTTTTAGTTATTTTTGTTTATATTTTGTAATTGGCAGTCTCAATAAGTTCAATTATTAGTTTATTTTATTAGACATCTTCTATAAGTCCTGTTATTCACTTTAAAACTATTTGTTAATTCCTTTACTTCTTTTTAAACTTTCACTTTATTTTTCTATCTATTTATATTCTTTATTGATAATATTTAGTTAGTTTGTATACAAGCTACCACAGGAGATCTTTAGAACTTTTAGTAAATCCTATTAATTATAATTCATTTAGTCTTTGTTCTTTTACTGTTATGTTACTTTGTTAATTCATTAATTTTAATAATTTTTGAATTAACGAGAACAATATCCTTGAGTATTTCAAAGTTCTATTAAAATGGTAACAATATAAAAAATTGAAAATATATAAAAGAAGAGTCTTTTATTATTAGAAACTCTCTTGCTCTAATCCTTTTATTTAATAAATAACAAAGTTCTTACTAATAATATTTTACTTGTAAATATATTATTATTTTCACAAATCTTGAAATTACAAGTAGTGAATACTTCTCCATTCTAAATAAGCCATTGACATTATTACTTTTGATTATTTTTAGTTTTATTATTTTTAAACAATCTCAATAAGTCTTATTTAATTATTTTTAGTTATTTTTATTTATATTTTGTAATTAACACTCTCAATAAGTTCAATTATTATTTTATTTCATTAGATATTATCAATAAGTCCTGTTATTTACTTTGGAACTATTCATCAATTTCTTTAATTCTTTTTGCATTTTTACTTTATTTTTCTATTTATTTCTATTTTTTATTAATAATAATTAGTTAGTTTGTGTACAAGTTACTATAGGAAATCTTTAGAATTTTTAGTAAACTCTATTAATTATAATTCATTCAGTCTTTGTTCTTTTACTGTTATGTTACTTTGTTAGTTTATTAATTTTAATAATTCTTGAATTAACAAGAATAGTATAATAATTTTTTCAGTTGTTCTATTATTTTGAGCTATTAATACTGCTATAAGTCTATTAACAGCTATTAAAATATCACCAATTTTTGTCATTTCTTGAAATAGTTCTGAAAGATAAAATTCAAATTCAAAGTCATAATTTGCAATAGGAACTTCTTGTTGGACTTTTTCTTATTGGTTATCTAGTAATTTCTTAGTATTTTTATTAATTTCTGAGTAATTTTCATCAAAAGAATTTGAGATCTCTTTGAATTCTTGATTATGAATATAATTTATTACAAGTTGAATAAGTTATAATTGTTCAGAAATAGTATTCTTGTTTTGATATAATAAGATATTTACAAATCTAATAATACTTCTATGAAGTTCTTCTAATGATAATATTAAGTGAGTATTTAAAATATCTTCAAATATGAGTTCAATAGTGTGTGATCCAGAAACAGTTCCAAAAGTTTGAATCCAGTTGACAAAATTATCTAATTTGTTAGAAGTGGTGTAAAAAGAAATAATAATAATATTCAGAGTTTATTTTTAGAAGGAGTTGTCTTTTTTGTTTAAATTTGTGGATGTAAAAGTGATTTTTAGTTGATTGTTCAATAAAAGTAAAAAAATATTCATATAATAATTAAATTAAATAAATTAAGTAAAATAATGTTGTAAAAGTAAAAGAAAATATAATTTATAAAGAGAGTATCAAAATGTTCTCATTAATTCAAGAATTATTAAAATTAATGAACTAACAAAGTAAAAAAAACAAAGACTGAATAAATTATGATTAATAGAATTTATTAAAGATTCTAAAGATCTTTTGTAATAGTTTGTATGCAAACTAACTAATTATTATTAATAATGAATAGAAATAGATAAAAAAATAAAGTGAAAATACAAAAAGAATTAAGAAATTAACAAATAGTTTCAAAGTAAATAACAGAACTTATTGATGATACCTAACGAAATAAAATAATAATTGGACTTATGAGAATGCCAATTATGAAATTTAAATAAAAATAACTAAAAATAATCAAATAAAACTTATTGAGACTGCCTAAAAATAATAAAACTAAATTAAATAAAAGTAATAATATTAATAGTTTATTTAGAGTGAAGAAGTATTCATTACTTGTAATTTCAAGATTTGAAAATAATCCACAAAAATAATCATGTATTTATAAGTAAAATATTACTAGTAAGAACTTTGTTATTTATTAAATAAAAGAATTAGAGCATGAGGATTTTTAGCAATAAGAAATTCTTCTTTTATATATTTTTAATTTTTTATATAATTTACATAATTAATGACTATTTTAAACTATATCATGATTTACATATAATACTAACAATATAAAAGGGATATAAATATCAAAAAATAAATGAGAAATTACACAAATTCATTAATAAGAAAATACAAAAGAAAATTAGTTACAATTTTAGTGATTAAAGATAAGAAAAAATAAGAATTTGAGTAAAAAGAAGTATTATATAGAAAGAAAATAATAGTATGAATATGATTATAAATAATTATAACAAAGAAATTAAGAGATAAAAAGAATAATTGTAACAAGAGTGAAAAATAAAATAAAATAAATATAAAAATGATTGATTAAAAATAATGAAATAAAAAAATAAAAAAAAGTTTGATAGAAGTATAAACAAGATAAATCAATAATAAAAATATAAGTTTTATAGTGAAAAATACAAGAATAAATGAATTTAGTGCACAATAATAAAAGAAAATAAAACAAAAAAGTACAAAAATGTGATTAATATTTAGGTATTACAATTTAAATATCAAAAAGGTAATAATATATACTAAATATAATTGTGTAATGAGATATAATGCAAAAATAAAAGAGCAAATTAATTTGATTATTATTGAATTATATTAATATTTTTTGTAATATATTTTAATTTTTGTTAATCAATAATTAAATAATTATGAAATTTTTGATGAGAATGATAATAGTACTTTAGTATAGAACAAGATTATTAATTATAATATAATTAACTTTTTGTGTAATTAAAAGAGAACCAATAATTTTATAATAATAGTATAGATTTATTATATATTATACTATAACTATATTATACTATATCACATTATATATTATTGTATTATATTATACTATTGTCATATAAAGATATATATAAATATTAGTATTAATAATTAATAAAATTCAAGTTCTTTCAGTTTGATTTTAAGTTTTTTAATTTGAATTTAAGTTCTTAAAGTTTGATTTAAATTCTTTTAATTCAATTTTAAGTTTATTTAGTTTAGTTATATTAGTTTGATTTATTTTTAAAATTAATAATTTTTGGTTAAGTTTTCTTTAATTTAGTCTTGTCTTAGATTTAGTTTTATTATTTTTATTTTGTCATAAATACTATTTAGTTATATAACTCAAATATTATAATATTATAATATAATTTAATATTTTTTATATTTAATTATATATTTTTATAATATTAATATTCAAAATAATTTTATTGAACAATTATATTTTAAATTAGAAATTCAATTCAAATTTTAGTTTAAATTTTCTATTTGAATTTTTATTTGAATTTTAATTCAAAATTCAATTTAATTTATAAGTTTATTAAAAGTTTAATTTTTATAATTTATTTATATATCTTAACTTAAAAAAAAACAAATTAACAAGTTGAGAGGTTGAATTCATCTTTTGTTATATTTCTTTTAATTTTTAGTTAGTATTTAATAATCTTTCATCTTAACTATAAAGTTATTATTATTATTTAATTTATAATTTCTCGTTTAGCTTGTAAAGTTATATTTTTTATAATATTTGTAATTAATTTTTTGTTTAGTCTGTAAAGTTAATATTATATAATAAAATTAATAAAAAAATTATATTTTACTTATTTACAAATCAATCTTTAAAAGAATATAATTAACTTTGAATATTTCTAATCTTATTCTAGTTAATTAACAAATAAATATATATTATTATTTTTGAATATTATATTTTTTCTTTCATTTTAAAGTTATTTTATAAATTCTTTCATATAACTTATTTTTACAGGTTATTTACAAATTTATTCATGACAAAGCTTAAAATCATATAAAATAATATAATAAAAATTTATATTATAATAATATTTATTTTATATAATTTTAGGAGAAGTACCAGATATGTAGATCAAAATTCACATAATTTAATTTTTATAAATTATATGAATTTTATAATAATCTAATTTTATTATAATTTATAATAATTAATATTAAAAGAATGATTTTAGACTTAAGATTAAGATTAAAATTAGAACTAAAATTAAATTATATAAATTGTCTTGTTATATTTTTAATTAGTACTTCAAGCTAGATTTAGGCATTTGTTTCTTTTGTGTTAAATTTGGTTTGCAAAAATTGCATTCTATTGGTTGCTGGTCTATGTTTGACAAAACTTCTGATTTGGGAAATTTCGCATCACTGATATGCAAAAAAGCACATTAGAAATCTCTGCCAGGTTTTGTTGATCTCGGAAAATTCTACTATAGTATTAATTAACATTAAAAGGTTGGTTTAGGATTAGAGTTGAAATATAAATTATACATAAAATTTCCTCCCTGACGTTTTTAATAAGTTCTCCAAGTTAGATTTAGGCACCTGTTTCGCATTTTTCTTTTGTTTTTCCGGTCTGATCAAAAATTTGTACATTCTTATTGGATGCTGATCAAAACATTGCGCATTCTTATTGGCTACTGGTCTATGATCGACAAAACCGGCACAGATTTCTGATGTGCTGCAAAAAATCGATTATGACTCACAAAATTTTTTTCGCGTCAAGACAACTTCTATTCTTAATATTACCAATATTGGCTTGATCTTCGTATATATTTGATTTTTTTCCTTTGACGATACTAAACATAATAATGTTAAACTTACTTCGAGCTACAAAACTAAAATGTCATTGCTCCAAAGGGTCCTTTCTTGGTCCCAACAAAAGCCTTCATTCAAACTCTTTGACCGCAAATCTTGAACTATTATTAAGAAGTAGAACTGAAACTAAAATTCGATCAAACTTCATTAATAAAGAAAACAATCAACTCTATAAATTTTCACAATTGAATTCCTCACGTATTTTTGGTTATGGTTTTTCGTCACGTCTTAATTATTCTACCGTGACAGATACATTGCCGGAGCAATCTTTTGATCATCTTATTCTATCACAACCTTCGTACGGAAAAGATGGAAAATTTTTTCATGGACAATTCAATGAACAGCTTGTTTTGCTATACGCTTGTCTTCAATCGCGTCTGATGGATAGAGCTATGCGCATTTTTAAGAATTTGTACAAAAACAGTTCAGAAGACCAGAAAAATAATATTTTGGATATTAATGTGCACAATGCAATACTTTTGGCCTTTACAAGCGAACCATTTAACGAAAAATATGTTGCCGATGCACTGCGGTGGTATGATGATCTAAGAAAAAAATATAAAGTCAAACCTAATTTAATGACATTTTCAATAATTATAAAGGGGGTTTTGAGGTATTTTAGATCCTTATATGCTTCATAGAATAACATTTTTATTTGTCACCGCTAAATTCTATCGTTACTCGATTTTTATCTGTTGTGTAAAGAGATCCAGCGAGAAGGGAATCTTATGTGAAAGTGTATGTCGAGGAGATGCAACATTATAACCTCACCGTTGAAGATTTGCTGAAGTCTTCCCATCTCAATAACAAAGAACTAAAAATGCTGACCGAGGTAAGATCAAATTGAATGTAACCGATTATAACTTTATCCTAGAGCGTTATCTTCATTATATTTCACTGCATGATATATAGGTCATAGATTTTAATAACTATGGAATCAAATTGGAATCTTTGCCAGTTGAACTTATGCAAGAGATCAAAAGCGAAATTGATCTGTCTAAACCCGATGAACCTGAAGAATCTCTTCCCGATCCAATTCTTATGGACGACGTACGAATTGAAATTTTTTAAAAAAATTACATTGTGTTTTTTGCTTATAAATTCAATTTTGGTCAAAGAGGATAACTTACTTCTATAGGACAAAACAAATAGGCTATTGGGGTAAAACTCATGAAAAATTCTCTAGAAGCGTTGAAAGACAAGACTGATCCAATGACGCGACAGATGAAACTTGAAGCAAACGCGTATCAAGCAGCGATTGAACGGTGGAAATATGATAAAGAGAGATTTAAAGATATGGCCACAGTCAAACGTATATCACCACTTAGACAATTTATGTGGAACTGGCACTCTGAATTAATGCCATTAATCCAAGAAGAACAAAAGAGGGTTGATAAACTTACAAAAAAATCCTCACATGATGGTTTATTTTCTATTCATTTAACTCGTATATTAAATCCTTATCCTTACGATCTTAATGACTAATATTTTCAATTAATTTTTTTTAGCTACTCAATCTAACAAGGGAGAAGTCTTAGCCGCGATGCGTACTCCCAGAAAATTCCAGCTCGAAAAAGGTTTGAAATTTACTTTATAATTTTTTTGTCACTCGAATGTAATTAAAATAATATTACCATTTGTAGAAGAGGAAAACATAATTAATGATCGTACAAAATATGGCCCATATTTCCTAAAACTTAGTCCTGAAAAGCTTTCCGCTATTACTATTATTGAAATTTTGCGACTTCAAGGCTCTGGTGGGATTCGTGATGGAATGAAATCGGCGTCCGCTTTGTTAGCAGTTGGTAAGGCAGTTGAAGCTGAATACAATTCGGAAATGATGAAGAAAAAACTAAATCGGAATATAGTGAGCACCTTGTTTAATACTATCATTTTAATGGATTTCAATAGTTTGTGTAACTATATTTTTTGAAAATAGCTAGGTCGATTTGTTAACATTCAAGAGTTGTACCAAGATGGCAAGCTTTTCCAAATGGCTGTCAGACGAGCACAAGCGAAAATAGAACAAGAAGAAATCGAATCAGAATGGAAACCAATATGGCCACCTTCTGTAAAAGCTAAAGTATTTTATATTATTTTATATTATTTTATATTATTGTAATAATATATTTTATTTATTGACAATTCTTTATTTAGATTGGTTCGGTATTGATATCTTTGCTACTTAATTGCGCAAAGGTCGCTGTTCAAAGAGCGGATGCAAACGGCGAACAAATGTAATGTTTGAGGAATTTGTTATTTTTGTAATATTAAAAGATTGATAACAATAAATATTTTTATAGTCAGGAATATGTTTCTGCCTTTACTCATAATTATCGGTATATTAATGGCAAACAAGTTGGTGTAATTCGACTTCGTGATGTCTTAGTGGAAATGTTGTCCTCCGAGAATATAAATGAAACTATTCATCCCCGAATGTTGCCAATGTTAGTTCTTCCCAAGCCTTGGTTGACGTATAATAGTGGTGGTTATTATACATCTCAAAGTAATATTATAATTTCAATTGTTTGGATTATTTATACAAAGAATCAATTAAATTAAAATTCCCTTTTATAAATTCTTTTAGGTGATGCGATGAGAATCAAAAATAGTCATGAGCAATTTGAATATTTGAGAGAAGCATCAAAATCAGAACGTCTTGATCTGGTATTTGCCGGTTTAGACGTTCTGGGATCCACAAAATGGGCTATTAATAAAAACGTTTATAAGGTGGTTCTCGAAGTGTGGAATAGCGGAAAAAGTCTTGGCGGAATCCCTCCAATTGAATTTGAAGGTCCAGAACCAAAAATGAAGCAGGTTAATACTAAGAAAGAAAGAGAGGAATCCGAACGTGAATTTAGGAGAGCAATGAAAGAACATCATATCAGAAAAACAAATAACCGTTCTGAGCGGTGTTCGGTAAACTATAAAGTACAAATTGCTGGCGCGGTGAGTGAAAAAATAATTCATCATAATTTTATGTTTCTTTGTGCACTCATAATATTTATTGTTATTAGTTTCTTGTAAGAATTTAACCGAATTTGATTAATAAATTATATTTAGTTTCTCAACGAAGCATTATATTTTCCACATAATTTGGATTTCCGAGGACGTGCCTATGCAATACCACCTCATTTTAACCATTTAGGGGATGATCTTTGTCGTGGTCTCTTACTTTTTCACGATGGCAAACCTTTAGGGGCAGAAGGTTTTAGATGGCTCAAAGTTCATCTCTCCAATTTGTGTGGTGTAGATAAGGTATCTTTAGAAGATAGAGTAAAATACGCAGAAGAAAACATAGATAATATTTTAGATTCAGCAAATAATCCACTCATCGGTAAAAGATGGTGGCTTAATGCTGAAGATCCTTGGCAATGCCTCGCCACGTGTTTTGAGATCGCAGAAGCTCACAAATCTGGAAATCCAGAAAATTATGTCTCACGAATTCCCGTCCATCAAGATGGTACATGTAATGGATTACAACATTATGCGGCTCTTGGAGGTGATCCGGAAGGTGCAAAACAAGTCAATTTACAAAATTCAGATACAGGGAAACCTGCTGATATTTATACTGGAGTAGCCGAACGAGTAACTGCAATGATCAAAGAAGACGCAAAGAAAGGAGATCCTCTTGCAGAAATAGCACAAAACATTATCAATCGTAAGCTTGTAAAACAAACAGTTATGACTAATGTTTATGGCGTGACCTTTGTAGGTGCACGTACTCAAATTGAAAATCGGTTGAAAGAACGTGGCGATATTAATCCAGAAAAACTTCGTTCGCTTTCTGCATATATAACAAAGCAAGTCTTTTTAAGTTTGCGTGAATTATTTACGCGCGCTCGAGAAATTCAGGATTGGTTGACGGAAAGCGCTAGGAGAATCTCAAAGAGTATGCCAATAGAGAAGGTTAAAGAATTAGATGAGGCTAAAAAGCAACAGATGAAGAAGATTTCTGAACATGAAGCTAAAGAATTAGATAAGACTAAAGAACAGCCGAGGAAGATTCCTGAACATGAAGTTAAAGAATTGGATGAGACTAAAAAACAACTTATGAAGATTTCTGAACATGAAGTTAAAGAATTGGATGCGACCAAAAAACAACCGATGAAAGAATTAGACGAGACTAAAAAGCAGCTGATGAAGATTTCTGAACAAGAAGCCAGATATGATCAAGTTACCTCTGTTATATGGACCACACCTTTACAGTTAACAATCGTCCAACCATACAGAAAACTGGGCAAACAACCAATCAAAACTAATCTTCAATCAATTACTGTTGAAAATCCAGATAAACAAAGCCCGGTGAACAGTATGAAGCAGGCCGCTGCGTTTCCTCCAAATTTTATTCATTCACTGGATGCGACACACATGCTTATGTCTGCTCTTGCATGTAAATCAGCAAGTCTCACTTTTGCATCCGTTCATGACAGTTATTGGACCCATGCATGTGACATACCAAAAATGAGCAAAATTCTACGGGAAGAATTTGTTAAATTACACACTAAACCTATAATGTCGGATTTGCAAGATGAATTTATGAAAAGATATCGCGATCACATCACTAAAAGATCAATGGATGTTGACGAATACCAAGAATTCAGAAAGAAGCATGAAGGAAATGTTTTCCTTGAAGAGATAATAGAATCCGATGTCAATAACAACAATATACACAAAAATATTGGAGCCACCAACAACGCCAACGCAAACTATAACGATGATGATAATATTAATGATAAGCTTAATAATGATGATAATGAGGATGATGATACAAATAGATCATCGAAGTCGCTGTTTGATTTCAGTCAAGAGCTCGAATCATTATTAAACGAGAAAGGAAAAAAAGAAGCTGATCGAGAATTAGCAGAAACATATTCAATTGATAACAGCTTTAGGCTCGAAGATGAAGATTTCGATGATTTCGATGTTGACGAAGATGGTTTAAATGATAACGAAAATAGCTTGGATGATGACAAAAATGAATTATTCGACTTTGAAAAATTAGAGACGCAAAAAATGGGTAATGATAACGTTAACGAAACCAAGGACAATTTAGACAAAAACTTTTCTACACTAATACCACCATCTTCTGAGGCAACCACAGCAGATGAAACCACAACAGATAAAGAGAAAACAAAGAAAAAAAATTATAAAATTTTTCAACTATTGACATTTCCCTCATTACCTCCAAAAGGAGAATTCTCAGTTACCCAGGTATTAGATAGCAAATATTTCTTTCATTAATTATTAATGTTATATATACATGTAAAAACTAGAGTGTATTTGTGAGTTGGATTTAATTTATCCGTCTTATTTTTTGATTACACTATGATAATTCAATTAGAGAAGTTGATCCGGTAAGATGATCGACTCGCCATTTAGATACAACGTGTAACATGCCTTTTTGCTCTTATTTTTCTTATTTTAAATTGTTAATTAATAGTTTTGTACGAAATTAATTGCTTTCTCAAGCAGCTTTGTTGAAGTTCCACGGACTTTTAAAAGATGTACCCTATAAACGATAAGTCATATCGAACACAATATTTGAATCAAGTGCACCAGGATGCTTTTTTGATAGGAACGTCTCGAAACGTTTCAACTATAGAATTATCCTTGACACATTCAAATTTTAATTCTTCCCCATTCCAACCAGTAAAGCCCTTGTCTCCTTTTAATCTTTATACACCGTCCACAATGTTTATACATGATGCTGCAACAAATTCAACACCTGACGAATTATTGGAAGAGCTCTCTGTCTCTGACTCATCAAAACCTATAATCCAAATATCTCGCTCTTCCGATGATACTAGCAGTAGTCCTGAACTTAATAATTTCGAGGAAGTATCTTTAGAAGATGTAAACGGAAGTTCAAAAACTCCAATTTCAGAAGTAGAAAAGAAAGAAAAGAAAAGGCCCAAACTTTTTTCCATAGTTATAAGTAAAGCATCACCACCTTCTTCCACTACCTCTTCACCTCACTCGCCGTCAACTCCTCCAAAAATAAATATGGCTTTAGATCTTACAAATGACTCTGAGATTCAACTTGGTGATAATTCACTGCGTAGACAATCCTCTGGACCTTTTTATAGTGTGCCAATGACTCCACTAATATCTTTAAAAAACCTAGCTGACACTTCAAAAAGGCTTTCAGCGGATGACAGATTTATATCACGAAAGGCTACCGCATTTCCTGCTGGATCCAAATCCAAATCCAAATCTCTTTCAAATGTAACCACTTCTGAATCCGAATTTTATGATAAAAAATTAAAAAGGACTCATAGTCAGAGTAGGTTAGTGAATATTTGAATATTGAAAAAATCGACCGGTTGCAAAGGACACTACAACTTAATACAATGGATTTTGTATTTAGGTTCTTTACGTGGGGCTCAGCAAATCTGCACCCTTTAGATGTCTATATATCTAAAACGCGTCAGAGGTAGACAATCAATTTATGTATATTTTTTCCAAAAACCAATTTTAATCTTTTTTATTTATAGAGATCTTCCACCTAAATCACTAAAAGAAGAGGTGAATATAGGAAAAATTAATTATAGGATTGCAGTTAGTTTAGTAAAAATAACATTATTTCAAATATACGAATCATCTAATAGAAGCGTCACATGCAAGAACATGAAAATATGATGCGTAGAGCAAAGCAAGCAGGTGAGATTATTGATTTTTAATTTAGCAGGCGTTTTTATAGAAATGACATTCAAATGTAAATTAATTTCAGAAATGAAAAAGCTCCAACGAGAACAAAAGAAAAAACAACAACGAGATAAGCAATATCAATCAGCTCTTACTGCATGGGAGATTGACATAATACCTAATTGGCAAGTCGCGTAAGTAAATCGATTTGAATTTTTATTCCTTCAGTAAATAAATTAGTATATTGATTTCGAAACTGATTTAGACGACATGAAAAGACTACACGAGATTTATGGTGGAAAGGAATTCCGCCAAGATGTCGGAGCAAGGTGTTTATTTTTTTAATTGAAGAAATTTATCTTATCTGATTATTTTTAATTTATTTTTTGTCTGAAGCTTTTATTTTTTTTCTTATCTAAGGTTTGGTCGATGTGTATAGGAAACCCATTATCTGTAAGTAAAGGTAAGATGATATCTGAAGTCTAAAATTTGTAAATTTATGTAAATTTATCTTAATTTTTAGTAAACATTTGTTTGAACAATCTAAATTTATTTGAACAATCTAAATAAAGCTACTTATGATATATGTTTAGACAGGTAATTTTTTAACTTTAATGTTTTTAAAGTTTAATTTATTATTAGCATTTAACAGATTTTATCAATAGAGCATTTAAAGCAAAAAGTGAATCAAGTGACGGTCTCGAGTCACCTACACGTAGAGAATCATCGCATAATATGGTCAATCTGTTTGAATTAATTGAAAATGAAATTTCTGAGACTCTTCCAGCTCTTGGATTATTCCAGGTTTGTATTATTAATTATATTTTGCATTTACCAAACCTGTGTCAGGTTTTTTGTGGCACATGTTGATCGACCAATCAATCACAAAATATAAAAGTTTCGGCTAAATTTAGGATTATATGGCAAACAAAATGTTACATATAGTAAAATTTCGCAAGGATCATTTTTTATTAGGCTAAAATTAGTTTCATAATCAAAATTTCGAGATACAAGCTATTTTTCATTTTTTGTTACACATTGCTTTTACAATTTGATTGGTCAATTCACATGCGCCACGAAAACCTGACACAGGCTTGGTAAGTGCAATTATGTTGTTATTTATTGTTATATGTCGATTTTTATTTTTTATATTAAATCATCATCACAGACTGAAGGACCACTCTGTAATAGTTTACGCAGTGTGCTGGAGGCCTATACTTTTTATCGCACAAATACTGGTTATGTTAGTATCATTACTTGGTTAATATTTTATTCTTGCGTTTAATTTATTGATTAATTGTGAATATTAACTATTATTCTAGGTGAAGGGCTTAAATAATGTAGCAGCAATGTTATTATTAAATATGGACGTTATTACTACTTTTGCATGCATGGTCAATTTGTCTCATAGGCCCTGTCTTTCTGCGTTTTTTGAAAAGGATGAATTAAAAGTAAGTAATTTTTCCTTAATAATAAATATGTTTATTTATTAAAATGGTAGTTGTTTATACATGATTGTTAATAAATATTAGATTCAAGGTTACCTTCGAATATTTTCTATTTTATTTAAAACTAGTATCCCAAAGGTAAGTAAATGTAATTAATTTATAAATATGTTGATTAGAAATATATATCAATTAATATCTCTCTTTAGTTGTATGAACACTTTAAATCGCTTGGAATTTATCCTTCAGTATTTATTCCAAATTGGTTCATAACAATGTTTACTTGTTATTTACCGCTTGAAATTGCCAGTCGATTTTGGGATTGTTACTTTTTATATGGTGACATTTTTCTATTTCGGGCAGCATTGGGTATATTGTTTTCTTTGGAAGGAAAACTATATGGTTCTAAAGATGAAATAATAGGAGCTTTACTTGCTGAGCCGTTCAATTGTATTGGCATTGACAAAATTTTTGATCATATTGAACAGGTTAAACTATATGAAGAATTCTTTCGGCAATTAGTAGTAAAGGAGGTACCACCTTAGTGTATTAGTTGCTATTTATTTTCAGAGCCCTTTTCTATATTAATTTTCACTAATCAATCAGCTCCAAATTAATCCGTATTGATTTCATATCATTAGAATTTATTATATTTTTTTGTCTAATTTTGTACATTAATTTTTATTATAATATGTAATAATATTAATTTAATTTTCTTAAGATAACCAAATTCAATTATAGGATTTTGGGAATAATATTACTATTTATTTGAATACTAATTGTTTGAATCTGTGATTATTCAAATTTATAATAAAAATAATATTGATTTTTAAATTAAATTTAATATCAAGTATTTTTATTTAAAAAATAAATATATTTGTAACAATTGTTATTTGTAATAATTATATTTTAATTGGTTAATTAGGATCTGAGTTAGAGTTAAAATTAAATTAATTCTTATTAAAATAACATTTTGAAGCAGAATCTTTTATTATATTATTATGTCAAAATAAAATTAATACAGCCATCCAATTAATTTTGAAAAAACTAGATTATAAACAAAATAAACTTTTAATAATCCACAATTCAATTATTCTATTTTCAATTATTTTAATTCTACTATATATATAATATTTATATTATTATTAAATTATTTATTATTAAATTATTTATCATTTATTTTTATTGATTAAATTTTTAGTTAAATTTTATTAAATCTGTTATATAATATAAACTATTTAATATTATATTATTACTAAAATTTAATACATAGATAAAATCAATAAAAATTTAGTATTTAGAATATATATATATAATATAAATTATATAAAATATGATTTTTATATAAAAGTATAAAAAATTAATTATATATTTTTGTATTATTATTATTTGAATATTTTTATAAATTTTGAATATAATATATATTATTTATATAATTCAAATTAAATAAAAGAAATAATAAAATAATTAAAATTTAATAATTAAATTATTAAAGATAAATAATATATATATATTTATAAATAATTAAATAAGCTCAAAAATCTTTTTAATATTTTAAATAAAATATAAATAATTTTATTATATTAAATATTATTAAAATTATAACTTTAATAATACAATTAATAATTTAAATTAAAATACTTTTCAAAATTCTAAATATTTCAGATTTTGAATTATTATATAAGTTTTAAAATATTTTAAATTTTAATTTAGAAATTTTTTGCAAATTATTTAATACTAAATATTTAGTTCAAATTATTAAATATAATAACTAATAAAATTATGAAATTATATATGTAATTTTATTAATAAATATAATAAAAATTGAAATTTTTGTTTTATATAAGAGTTTTAATTTTATTAATAAATACTTTTTAATTTTATATTAAAATAAAAATTATAAGTTATATTTTAGATTTAATTTAACAAAGTTATTTTAATTACAAAGTTATTGCAAAAATTTTTATAAATTAATTTTATATTTTAATTATAAAAAATTCTATAATAATTTTGCAATTAGAACAATTTATTAAATTAAATCTAAAAAATCCAAAAAAATATATATTAAATATAAATTATAATTTTTATTTTAATATATTTTAATAAGTCTTTTAAAATTAATTAATTAATAAAAATTAAAGTTTACTAAAATAAAATAATTTGATATAATCAAAATTAAATAATTACATCAGAAAATTCAGAATATATCAGATTTGTGATAATTTGCAAATATACAGATTATCAGTTTTTTTATCAAATTAACAAAAAACTATAAAAATGTAAATTTTGATCAAAAAAAGCTGTAATAATCTACATATTTACAGATTATTACAAATTTATTTATTTATTATTGTAATTAATAAATATATAATATGTACTAATTTTTAAACTTCACAAAACTTCTTTAAAATCTATTAATAATATAAATTTGACTTTAATATTCTTTGTTATTTTATATTCTTTGAAGTTTTAAAATATTTATTTAACAAAAAATAATTTTTTTATTAAATTATGACACTATATATACTTTTTGATCTATGAATTCTACTAAAATTATATTATAATTTTTGATATAGTATAAATAAGAATAATTATATAATTCTAATTTATTTGACTTAATATTATAATAATAAATTATAATAAAGTTATATAGTTCCTTTGTTGATTTTCAAAAGAATCTTAGAAGAAGCAATATTTTTGAAAAAATTTACAAAATTGAAAAATTAACAAATCTCTAAAATTATAATTATCTTTTCATATTAAACATCTTTATTTAATCTATAATGATTTTGATCTTTAGCAAAAGTTACTGCAATATCACTGAATTACTCTTTGTTATGAAAACTATTAAATATTCTTAGAATTTCATTACTTTCTAAATGAACCACATCATAAACTTTTATTTAAAAGTCTTCACTTTTAGAATTTTGTGATAATATATAAAGAAATAAATTTAATATGAAAATTATATGTGATAATTCTTTAATAAATTTTAAATATGATAAACTTTTCAAATTCTTTAATAAAATCACTTTTACTTTAATAATATCCAAAAATAATACTTTGCCAAATCTTTTAGTTTTATAATAAATCACTTTGCAATCATTCACCTGTAAGTATGATTTAGCATTATATTTTGAATAATTTAAAAAATAACTTAACTTATTGCATTTATTATCTACTGCATTATATTTTTTTATTCAATAATTGATATGAATCTTTCACATATAATTTGTAAAGTGTTTCATATATTTCAGTCAAGAAATCATTCAAGACTCTATATTTACAAATTATTATAATTATCAATTATATAATTTTGAAAAATCATATTTTATAGTTGATCATGATACAAAACTTCTTTTAAATCTGGAATATCAGTCAATAATAAAAGTCTATATTGATTTTATTATTTTCAATTTCTTTAAAGTTTACTAATTAATTTTACTTTGATTTACTTTAAAGATTTTTAAATCATTTTTAATAAACAATTCTTGCTTACTCATTATATATATCTGATTAAATATTATATAAAGCTCATAAAAATCACTGTATATTATTTTATTTTATATGTTAAAGATATTGTTCAATACAAAAAAAAATAATTTTTATTACAAATCAAAAATTTGTAGTAGTCATTATTTTTAATTATTTCAATTTGTGAAACAATTTTAATTTAGAAAAGCAAAGAATTTGATGGAAATGATTATCAAATTTGGTTTATAATTCTGTTTTATCAACTTTCTTCAAAATATCTTGAATAAAGTTCAACTGATATTTGAAGAGTTCAAGATTGATATAGTATATATGATTAGATATTGTCATAATATAATATTTAACAAATAATTTTATTGGATAACAAATATATTAATTATTATTAAATTATATTTATTAGTATTTCTATTGAATAGTATTATCATTTCATCAAAAAATTCATAATTGCTTAATTATTGATCAACAAAAATTAAGATGTATTATAAAGAATATTAAATATTACATCATGTAACTCAATAATGATCAAATTAATTTGTTCCTTTATTTTTATATTGTATCACATTATATGATTATATTTAGTATATATCATTATCTTTTTGATATCTAGATCATAATATCTAAATATTAATCATATTTTTGTACACTTTTTGTTTTATTTTCTTTTACTGTTGTATTAAAATTATTTATTCTTGTATTTTCACTATAAAACTTATATTTTTATTATTGGTTTATTCTATATATACTCCTATCATATTTATTTTTATCTTTTTATTTTATTATTTTTAGTCAATCATTCATATATTTATTTTTCACTCTTGTTACAATTATTCTTTTTATTTTCTAATTTCTTTATTATAATTATCTATTATTATATTCTTAATATTATTAATTAATTTTCTTTTATATTTTCTTGTTAATGAATTTGTGTAATTTCTCATTTATTTTTGATGATTTATACTCCTTTTGTAATATTAGTATTGTATGTAAATCATGGTATAGTTTAGAATAATCATTGTTTTGTAAATTGTGTAAAAGATTGAAAATTTATAAAAGAAGAATCTCTTATTGCTAGAAACTCTCATGCTCTAATCCTTTTATTTAATAAATAACAAAGTGCTTACTAGTAATATTTTACTTGTAAATATACTATTATTTTTGAATGAA